TATTCGACATGCCTGGACCGATTAATTTCATACTTCACTCAGACATCGTACCGGACTAACACATTTTTGTCACCATCGAATCCAAAATATCTGACTGATGTCCGGGGGTTGTCATGTTTAAACAAATGAATTTCCACAAAGCCGGAGACGTGTCTCATATACCTGCCTGCACCAATCAAGTTTAAATTTCACACACATACGTCAGGTCATATAGTATGTATCTCGTGTCTCTAATACAAATGGAGGCCTGGTTGTTGACAATGACTTGTTATTTTTATTTTTAGGTTTCTTTGACAATTTTTTGGACATACTTTGACAAGATCTAATGATATACATAGGCATGATGATTTGTTTTTCATTAGATGTACATGCATATAACAATTGTACTTTGTCACAGCGTATGCACGTTACATAACTCTTTTTGTATAGGACAGTCTTCTGTAGAAATCGCACCAGATTTATGAATGTTGATTTAACTTGCATCAACACAACTTGTCAATCTAGGATTTGAATCCAGGATGTTGCCATTAAGAAATATGGCCAATTTTTAAATAGTGAGGGGAAGTTTTACTTTCCAATTGGATTGTGTGAGAAAAAAACAAGCCATGCATGGCACAGTCCCCGTTAGTTATATGAATCTAGAAGCTGATGCTTGATTATGATGATTTTTTAACATTGAAATGATTGACATTCAGTCATCTTGTATCTGATCGTCAAATGAGTACTTGTCCATATAGCGAGATATTGCTCTGGAACAGCATTAAATAAAACAAAATGGCCACTGGTCCGCCATTTTGAATACATCTTAATGAATTTTGTATGATGAATATACAAAATTTTAACATAATCAGTCAAATCATGTCAGAGATATGGCTCTAGAACTGCATTCATTAAAACTAAAAGGCTGTTAGGCAGCCATTTTGAATCAGATTTAAAACAAGAGTTGGCAGAGCCATCACGATGCTGGGAAAATAAGAGTATTTAAAGGTGTGTTTTGGAGCAATGGATTGGCGAACAGGCAGAAAAGCAATTTCAAAAACTTTGACTTAATGAAAACTTGAAGTATACATGAGGGTACGTATTATTATTTATTATTATTTTGGAAACTCAATTTTTAACTGAAGGAATTAAACTAAATTAAATAATCATGTTAGAAATGACTACTGTTCAACTCCGGACGTTTAATTGTACTTAGCGTATTGACTTAGACAATCAACCAATTCGAGAAAAACGGTCGACAATCGCTGTTTAATTGAAATAAAAAAAATCAAAGAAAACAGAGAACTCTAAGACAGGAAGAGAAACACGAGCGATGTATTCGAACAACAGGCATTACGGCAGCCAAGTTTGTTTCACCTCGATCAATGCAGTAATACCCACGATGCACTATTCCCGGGCAGATTTACATAATAATACAGTTCAATAACACGGCCAGTCACATAAAATCCATCAAAAGGGAACTGCAAGTCGTATAATGCCAAAACAGTACCATGATTTCACAACTTTCGAAATACGTTCGCTTTTATCGACGTCTACTGTACAACAGTTTAATGTCTTCCCGTTCGCAAGAACACAAAGCCTAAACTATCAGAAATTCGTAACACATAATTCGAGTGATGAAATAACAAAATTACTCATCATCTGTAAATTCAATCCATCGAAAAAGTATAAAAAACATTTTTATAAACAATTTTTATTATATAAATGCACTTTGAAAAGAAACAAGATTCATAAACATAAATCTATTTGAATACATTCTCACTACAAATTACACAATACTTATTTTCTAATGGAGTTTCTTCACAGCACAAACTATTGGAATCATGCACACGTGTGAGTACTTCGGTGACACATTTTATAGCTACGCCCAAAATAGTCCATCATTTATTGCGCAACTGTGACCACACATTCTGTTAAAATCCACACATTTTCATTAAATCTCCATGCACTTTTTGACCTTTCATAAGTAAAATACACTACAAATTACTCCAGAAAAACAATTTTCTTGGTACATTATTGCATACTAATGAGGGATTCAGACACATTTCAAGCTGAACAATTTTCTTGGACTAATAACAAAGCTGGTCAATCCTTTCCCAGCAAAAATAAAATGACGTGCAATAGGAACCCATAATGTTTTATGTATGTAACAAGTTTGAACAAACTCAATCTATAAACAACCAAGATCCAGTTCCGAAATGCCAGAAATGTTTGATTTTTGATGATTTTTTAGCACAAAAATGGCCACCATTTGGTAATTTAGAATTTTGAAATATTGCACGACTACCACGGCGTTATCCATAATGTCGACCAACATGTACAAGATATGTCTCTATAATATTAGGCAGGGAAATGTAAGTAAAACTGCAAATAATTTAGTTGATATTATATATGCTTGTAACACACATATGATGCACAAACTTAATTATGTTGGCAAGTCATATTTTAACTCCTGGTTTGACAAGGAATGTTGTACTACTAAAAGAGAAGTAAATCAAGCATTGAATCGTTTCAGAAATTGTAGAAGTCAGGCTACCTTAGACTATTATTTGCAGTCTAAATACTCATACAGGCAACTAGTTCGTGATAAGAAAAATAATTATCAAAGAAAAAAAACGTGATGAATTTTTAAAAATGGCGATACAACCTAATTCAAAACAATTTTGGAAGAGTTTGAAATCTAATAGGCCCAATGTGCCAAACAGTATATCAGAGGTTGAATGGTTTAACTATTTTAATGATTTATTTAACCCACTAACCTTGACTGAGTACGAAAATCAAAAAAAGTTTTTCGCATCAATCAAAAACTACATGGATGATTTAGAAGATAATGCGGTGTTAAATAACGAATTTAATGATTCTGAATTTGATAGGCCTATTTCTTTGGATGAAATTAGGGAAAAGTTAAGTAAATTAAAGACAAATAAAGCCCCAGGACCAGATGGTATACACACAGAATTTTGGAAAAATGCTCCTATAGAAATCCATGAAATGTTATTTGTTTTATACAACAAGGTATTTGACCAGGGAATCTTTCCTGATAATGGGGTAGGGGATTAATATCGCCTGTATACAAGAAGAGAAACCCCGGTAATTATAGGAGTATTATGTTATTAAACGTCATAAGTAAAATTTATACAAGTATATTAAGTATTAGGTTAAATACCTGGTTAAAACTTTATAATGAAATTGTGGAAGAACAAAGTGGTTTCCAGAAACATAGAAGCACATTAGATAATGTTTTCATTTTACGTACTCTTGTGGAAAAATATGTCTTTCAGTTAAAAGGTCGTTTCTATTGTGCATTTGTAGACTATGAGAAGGCCTTCGATAGGGTACATCATGGCTCATTGTTTTACAAATTATCGAAGACCGGTCTCAAAGGCAAATATTTTATTCAATATACCAGCATGTAAAGGCAGCAGTGAAAACTCCCTGGGGGTAACTAACTACTTTAATATTAGTATGGGTTTGCAACAGGGCTCTGTGATTTCACCTCTTTTATTTTGTTTCTACATTAATGATCTTCATAGAACTTTTCAACAAGGTCATGAACTGTAGTTTACCTGTGTGCTTTGAAATTGTGTTACCTATTGTATGCAGATGACCTGGCTTTGTTTAGTAGTACACCTGTTCGTTTACAACAGTTATTGACTAATTTGGCAGACTATTGTTCAAAGTGGAGACTTACAGTGAACCTTAAGAAAACTAAAATTATTGTTCTTCGAAAAGGTGGTCGTTTAAAAAACAGTGAAAAATGGTTTTGGAAGGGTAAAAGCATTGAAACTGTTTCAAAATATAATTATTTGGGGGTTATACTTTCCAGTTCTGGAAAGTGGTACCAGGCACAAAAATACGTTTCTCAAAACAGGCTAGTGAAGCACTTTTTTGTTTGGAAAAAAAG